AAGTGACAATTCTTTGTTTTGTGGGACTATTCCAAACATCCTAAGACACTTAGATGTCTGGCCTCTACTGTCAGTGGGACCTAACATTACTGTTGCAACGAAAAATGTCCTCATATATTTCCAAATTTTTCTCCAAGTGGAACCATGAACCACAAATCTGTATGCGTGTGTGCGCACATGCACGCACGCACACACACACACAAACACACACACACACACACACACACTTCTTACAGTGCTCCACCAAGTATGCTCAAATGTACTTAATATCAATCTTAAAGGAATCCAAATAGTTGAAATACCATGCAAATATTCTAATTTTATAAAAACCTTTTTTTTTTTTTTGGTACCGGGGCAAATTTGGTTCCCTTGCAAGGCAGGCAGTGGAACCACTGAGTTAAACTGCTGGCCCCAAAACAACCCATTTTTAAACAGTCCTTTATCACTATCTAAATGTTTGGCCAAAACCCTATGTAACAGCTTATATCACCTCTTGGGGAAAACAGTGCTTTCAGTTTGCTAATGCGGTTTGAAAATTCTTCAACTTACTTTTCCATACAATAATACTATAGAGGCACCTTACCATTTCTTCAATCATTTGCCTACCCTCACATACCACATTTCGGTTTTCTTAGCCTCCTTACAACTAGGGCACAGGCACGCCAGAGGACATGTGATATAGGCCTTTGGTGGAAGATTTATTTGCCTAGTCAAGAGATGAGAGGGTAAACTTTCACTTGTCTTTGGTAGCTGTATGAGAATGTAATGCACAGAACAGAAAACCATTTGCAATCATGATAGGATAGTGCAAGTGCAAAGGTCAGCTTAGTAAGGATAGTCATCTTTTAAACACAAAAAGCACCTAGATCCTTGATGTTTTTGTGTAGCTATACTAACCAGAGAACCCTCCAATTCTGAACTTCTTTTCATGTGAGATATTGGTTAAAATACTGTAAGCTGGGTATTCTCTAACTTGAGGCATAACTAGTACAAGATGTACTGAAGATCTGAACATCGACAGGGCTTGAAGAATCAATATGACTGCCAGGTTTCAAGACTGGATGGCTGAAAAAGGTGGTTACAAAAGAGAAATCAGGAAGAAGAAGGATATAAATATATGCACATATAAACACATCAGGTGAGGAGATGTGGATGTAGATTAAACTGATTTAGTTTTGTATAAGTTAAACTTGTGAAAATATATTTAAAATAGCAAAATGAAGGTGGAAAGTAGGGTTACAGAAGTAAGAAACATCCACACTAAGAAATGACCTATAAGTACACAGTAAAATGTATAGAGACTCTTGAGGACATCGGTTACCTTCCATTTACCCTGCATTGTGCCACAGTGCCTATACTTAAGATAGGATTCACTTTACTGGGTAGGCCAACTAGAATAATTCCATCTCTCTGAATAAAGGTATTGTTAGAAGCTAGGTAGTATGATGTTCTATGTTTGTTCAATCAGTGTAAAGCTGAGGACTTTTGGGAAAGATTAGAAGACAAGCATCTCTCTCCCTTTGGAAGTAAATGAAGGCAGGTATTAATGGTAGCTGTCTTTTATAATGATAGAAGGCAATCTGAGCATAAAGCCCAAGCAGAAGACAAAGTTGAGAGAACAGCCAAGAAGTGGGACCTTGGCCCAAGGGCATGATCTCTGCACAGACTGTGCTCCAAGCCATTTCTATAGGCACTTATTAATTACATGAGTCAATACTTACTTTATTTATTTAAATGTGATCTTGCTCTGTTGCCCAGGCTGGCCTCAAACTTGTGATCTTTTTGCCTCAGCTTCCCAAGTAGCTGAGCTCATAGCTACTGTGCCACTGTTCCTGGCTTGCTTTTGTTTTAAAATAATGTTTGCAGCATAATTAACACAGGAAACAGCTTTGGCTGGGAGAAAAATCAAGTTGAGATGGTGTAGGAAATGTGAAGAAATTTTCAGAGAAACAGGGAATTAGGAAGTACAATTAGGAGAGCGAAGGAATTAAACAATTTTAATACTATAGAATACATTTCACAAATGGTCTAAAGATACAAAAAGATGGTATAAAAAAGATAATCAGGCAGTCACAGGGGCCTTTTAAAACAACAATTTTAGTAAAATGATAAAGGAAATCGTAGTGAAAATGAAAGATGAATTCAACAAGAACTTCACAAGGCACCAAACACTAGGATAGACACTTAACATGTATTAACTTCTTCAATATCCAACCTGTGAGGTATATCTAAATCCTACTTTACAGACATGGACACTTTCCCGTGTTCTCCCCCTACACCACCACAGATGGAACTCAAAAGCTTGCCCCTTGCAAGGCAGGTGTGGTGCCTCTGAGCTAAATCCTCAGCCCCTACTAAGTGGTTTTAACAGACTTCAAATCTAAGATTGAAAGATTTGGCTCAAAGTCAATGTTCTTACTATTCTAGAATACTGGGATGAAAGAATGAGTCTTTTGGGGGATAAAACAAAAAAACTAACAAAACAACAGTGGACTCAGCATTCAGAATGGTATCCTAGAGTTGTGATGAACACAGCACTTGCACTTGGCAGCCCTACAAATGATATAAGCATCTACAAAAACTACAGAGGGAGCATCTGAAGAGGACATGCGATGAGACAGTTCTAGAGAAAGGGACGATCATGGACACACCTGGAGAGGGTTGCTCCTGAAAAAGAAATTTCTTCCTCTGAGAAGGGACTGTGAGGTAATAAGGACCACATAAGAGATTATACCGAAAAGAAAATGGAAGTAGCGGAAGTAGAATCTCCCTTAGAAGGTTGAAATTCAGTAAAAGAGATTGTGTTATTTGTTACATGTTATGGTTTGCATCTAGATGTCTCCCCAAAGCCTCCACTGCTCACAGACAGGGCTTTTGGGAGGTGACTGTATCATGGGGTACGATACTCATCAGTGGTCAGAGGAGGTGGGTCACTGTGGGTGTGGCCTGGAAAGGGATATCCCTCTTCTCTCCATCTCTCCGCTTTCGGCTGCCCTGCCTTGGAGCCAGTGGACCACGATCTGAAACCTGGACAAACTGTGAGCCAAAATAAACCTCCCCTACCTTGCAGATGTTGGGTATTTTGTCCTAGCTGTGAGAAAAACAATTGAGACATTACAAAACCTTTTAGGAAATGAGACAAAATTAGAATACAACACTAAAGACCCAGCAGACTGGTGTGAACCGATATCTTTATATAACTGTTTTTGTCAACTCTCAGGAGTTCAGGGGTGCAACTAATAAAGACAGTGATAAGTCTTATTCAGGTTTGGACACTGGAAAGGTTTAAGTCCACAGAAAGTGAAACACTCCAGTCCACCACTAAGACTTAGTAAAAACTGATGACCATGGGATCCTGCTTACCCAGGATAACAAATGACATTAGCAGTAGGCTAGTAAGATGGATGAATAGAGTCAAAGACAATTCATAAAAACAGTGAAAAAGAAAACAGGCTCTGTAAGAGGTAGAGAAGTTTTAAGGAGAGTCTGTGGTCGGTTTTTTGACAAAGAGTTTAAAATTATTCTGACAGAAGCTGTCAGCCTTGACCAGGGCTTAGCAGCCCCAACCTGCCTACTCTACCTTCAAACTGAAAGCACAGACTGAGAGGCAGCAGGTTTAAAAACATTAAGTCCTTCCCTGTGGAAAAGTGAACGCTCCCAACAATAAATGAACTTTAATAATCAGCAAAAATATTTCTTTTAAATCGAACAATTATATCTCTAAAATTAACTTAAAAGGCTTACTTACTTGCAAACTATATCATTTCTATTTTTAATCCCATGCCTATAATTTGGGCGTTCTTGATACATTATCCAACCACAGGGAAAGATGAGACAATCAGCTATGGCAACTTCTCCACTAGCGCTTTGATTCTGCAGTCTGCACTTACAAACTCTGGCACGTTATTTAGCGCAGTTTCTTATATCAATGATTATGATTACCTCTCCCATAAAGAAAAGCTGAGAGTGGAATACACCTACATCTTATAAAAAATACCTACTAAAAGAATAGTCAAGTGTACTAACAACTGAGAATACAAGAAACGTGAGAAGTTCTGAAGTTCAAAAGCTTTTCTCCATCTTACTCCTTTCTAAATACAACAAAGGGCTTGTATCATACCAGATTCTAAAACTTCAGTGTGCAATTCAAGCTAACACTGAATAAAGGAATAAATCAAGTATCCTGTGTCACGATCTGATAGCTTACATTTATAGTCTTTTTTTTTTTTAAAGGAACACAACACTTTACCAATTCTCTCACTGGATCTATAAAACTCACGCCACCGCTTCCAAAGTTCAGAGACCAAATATCCACTACGCCGAAAAAGATCAATGATTTAGATGAACAATCATTTGCCATTACAGGCACCATTCATTGCTCTGCTGTATTCCGCAGGCATCCGCAGGGTCTTAGGAGTCAGACTCTCCAAAACCATCCCGGTCTCCTGGGGACTCGATTCCTTCTTCGAGGTGGGCAGAATTCACTGGCCTCTGGATAGTAAGCCTTTTTTCTTCTTCTTCTTTGTCACTCCACATGCCTGGCTTTCGAGTAATCCTCCCAGTTAAAAACTTTTAAAGGAAGCAAGAAGGTCGAAATGGGGAAGATGGGGAAACGACCAACACTGCAGGCGCGGACGACCCACCCACCTCAGCTACACACACAGGAGGAGAAGCCGCCTCCTCCGGAGCCGGGAAGGAGGCGGCGGGCGTCACGACCCCCACTCACTGGTGAGAATGGAGGACCTGCGAAGCCAGGGTCCAACTGGAGGCCCGAAGAGGGAGAGCGGGGCGGGGAAGGGGTGCGACGCGGAGAGCCGGGGGCCGGAGTCGGCCGAACACCACCGGGTGCCGAGA